GACTTTAATAGTCTTCCTCCTCCAAATCAAGGAATTTGCAAGCCAAAGCTTACATATTGTGAAATGAGATTAAACAAACAAAGTATATGTTTCTTTAAATTTCTGTGTTTGACAGCAACCATGGAGAAACGATACTATGAGAGTGCCAAGGGGCTGTGGAATGCAGGTAAATACGCACAATGAGAAGGCTAATACTTCCCCAAAGCATAGACCACTGTTTCTGTTCAACTGCCACCACTGCCATACTTGTCTCAGAACTTGCATGTTGTCAGATGAGTTCACACACTGGGCTGGTCCTACCTCATGTCTTCTGACTGAGCCTTACACGACCACTGACCCAGACTGACATTTAGTGCCAACTGACATATATGCTAGGGAAAAAAACCAACCACATATGAGGTAAAAATAGTTCTCTAAACCCAAGGAAGTTTTATGAAACTAACTTTGGATCGGTTGAATTTAAATAATACCAGTATAATGAAATTTGCCTTTGAATGAGCAACCTCAATGAACTTCAAAAAAGTTAGCTCTCACTTTGAAGCCGATTCCTCTCTGACCTGGTATTGGACCACATAACCTCCTGAGGACCCTTCCAGCCTAACTTACTGTATGATCTGATGAACAATTTTCCCCTTTAAAATGACAGTTTGTCTTTCTTCAAGATGTCATTCTTGGCAAATATCTGTCTACAATATGGGGTTTTGAGTCCTCCATGCTTCCATCAGGGCATTATGCAGTTGCCCATTTATTGACCAGTCTCCATATGTTAGACAACATCACTTTGGACAACCCTGTGCCTGCAGCTTTTCACACAGGTACATGGAAACAAGTTTGAACTTAATGCAGATGAAAAACTATTCATTTGAAAAAAACAATTTGTGCATCTTTCTCTTTTAAAGAAAGAAATTAATAGTTTGAGGCTGACAGACTTAAGACAATCTTTTACAAATCAAACCACAACATGGATTGTTCGTAAAAGCAGCCTCCCAATTCGGGGTTTGCTGCAACCATATGTAAAAATTCATGTTCCTGCCAACTCCTAGACATAATATACCAATTTCTGACTTTATTCTTCTTATGACTTAAACTGAATGCAAAAGGATATGATTTATATAGGTTTCTCAAGAGTTGTATTTCAACCCCTTATGCAACAATTAAAAAAATGAATGCCACCATATTTTTAAAAAAAAAGGTAGGAAGAAATCATGCTTAAGCAAAGAGTGGCAAGAGAAATCCCACAATTTTTAATGTGTTTCCTCTAAAGCTTTAGACACTCCCATCAATTAAAGTCAATGCATAATTAACAGTGTTTCCAGCAAGTTGCAAAGTTTGGTATTGCTACCACAGAATACACAGCACTGCACTCAGTAAACATGCAATTAGATTATATCATTCTTGTCTAGTTCATCAGAACATCTCAATATAATGGCACAGGAAAAGACTGTCTCGCTATATGAGCTACTTTTGTGGAATCCAGGCAAAAGTTCAAAGCTACAGGGCAGCTCTGTGTATTTATCATTTCTACACCAGTAATTTAATCTCTATAGGATTTGAAATTATTTTCACTTCCTTTGCTGTAACAACTAAAAAGCACAGGTATCCTTGTCTCAGCTCTCAAGAATTACTGTGTCAGGCACATGCAGCTTTTCAAAACTTCTTACAAGGAAATCTAAATCAGTGCTTACAGAAGAGCTTACACATGAGACTGTTAAGAGCCTAAACTAAAAAGCAGAGCAAAACAATGTCTTGCATCCCCTTAAAACTAAGCTATCCAGTCTTCCTTTTCAAGGAAGATGAAGAAAAACAAATTTACAGTTCATTTTACATTGATTTTAAAATATGATTTTTATAAGGTAACTCACTGGCGAGAATATTCACATGTAACACGAGACCCAGGTTTAAGTCTCTCCTCTATAGGATTTGCTAAGAGGACACAAATACAGACCACACGTAAGAAAATCACACACTATTTAGCAGGCTTTAGAGCCACTTTCACTTTCCCCATGGTATAATGAATATATTCTGATCAGATACAAAGTTGAATAGTTGCTGCAGGGAAGTCAAAGCCAAGTGATTAGCATGCTCATCTGGGACATATAAGACAGACTGAAAATCCTCTTCCAAACCAGGTCTCTGGTCCTACAGATATAAAAATAGAAATGTACTATTCTCCTTGTAAGACTGAGGTAATTAGGTGTGATTTCTATCCAGGAATATTAATTTTTCCACTGATTTTTGCATTTTAAAATGAAGTAACTAGCTTCTCATTCTAAGAAATAATATTATAGGAAAAATAGATTTTACAGCCAACTCTGCTCCAGTTATTACTGAAACCTGGTTTGTTTAAGAATTAAAAAATCATCTAGATGTAGTAGTATTTATTTTACAAATGCTACAAACTCAGTGTAAGAAACAACAATGCTACTAAATGCAGTAAAGGCTCTACAGTTTGGCCTTTGCAGTAATGGTTTGATCTCTTACACCAGGCAACCAGCTGATACCTCACATCAGCTGCAAAGACTAGTAGTGAATGGTAATTATATCCACTACCTGCTACTGCAGTCTCTGTTAGACTGGAAATTCATGCAGAAAACACATTCCAGTTTCTGCTTCAGCAATGGATACTAAATTATCCATGAGACTGAGTCCTTCCATTCCTGCATCCACTGGGAAGAGCAAAGGGGATCTGTCCCCTGCTCCTTTCTGGGCATTATTAAGAAGTAACAGTCATTTACCTTTATTTGATTCCTTTTAGAGACAAGCTGAGAGTAAGATACAAGAGGATTCTGTACTTAAGAATTGCCATGAGCTGTAGTACAAAAAGTAGGTTTTTTGGGGAGAGGGTAATTGAGTGCAAAATACAAAGGCCATAGTCTGACACTGTGCCTTTAATATGCAAGACATTTTAAGAACATTTAGAGCTCCTTTATAGTTTGCCCCAGAAAACTGAGATTTTTAATTTTGTTTTCTGAAAAATGCTATGAACTACCTGATAAACTATTTCAGCACTGGATATAACAATTTGTGGAAATTAAAAGACTTTGTGTAACATCTCCTGAGCTGAAAGAACCTATATAGGACAGAATCTGAAGAAGGAACAAAGCTAGAGGATAGACAAGAGTCTGAAGAACCATTGCTGTCGTTTGTTTACTGTTTTTCCTTTAAGTCTTTTCAAGGTGGTTTGAAAAGGGCAAATGATATATAAACCAAAAATTCAAGTTTTCCTACATTTGGCTCATACCTACAGTGGTTCCTAAGAAAGAGAAAAGACCTGTGTCTCCAGTAATGCAATGTTTTCACCTTTTTTGACAACTACAAGGTGGCAGACAAAGCTAATGAGGCTTCTGAACCCATCACTCAGTACTATTACAGAAAATGACAGCAAATGAAAAATAAAAAGTAGTGTAACAACAATATTTTCCATGAGGTGTCAGCAGAAGTATCTGAACATGTTGCTAAAGCCTTGCAAGTGCTTTTTCAGGCTGCTAAAGAGTCACAGAAAAATGAATTTCATGTATGCCATGTAAATAACCTTTCATAGTTTATCTTTCTGTTGCTCAGTACTCAGAGTGGCATTACTGCTCACTTCCTCTTTCCTTCTCCAACCTTCACATGCACTACTGGAATTCCATGCTGGTCTTCCCTCTTTGTCTCCCTCACCCTGACAGCCTTTTTTCAAAATGTAACTGATCTTTCACTTGTTAACTTTAGTTTCCAGCCCCCTGTAAACAGGAAAAAAACCAAATCATGTACCACATGTCTTTCATGTTGCATATTCATATAATTAAGAGTGTTATTCAATGTCACCTAGGACAACTATACCTGTGAACTCGTATTTCGTGAGAGAAAAAGGACAAGCAATGCATCACAGAGTAAGCTCATATTGCATGGACAGTCAGAATGACCAAGAGTAAGTTGTCCTTCATTAATATGACAAACATATTTAAGAAGCCCAACAATATACTTTCTTGAAAATGTGCTCATCTGTTTTCCCAACATGATTTTTACATTTATCGTCCAATAAGATCCATGATATTCTAAACCTTACATATATATGTAGGTAGATTCTATATGAGAAAATAAGTTTAGAAATGGTTAAATATATAACTTCAGTCTTGATAAATAACATGAGCTTTTACATGTGTCTTGGTTATCCACTAAAAATAGTTAAATCTACATTTGCAAGATAAACATTACATTTGAAATCAAAGAAGCATGAAGTCTACTACTGAAAGGGATTACAAATACAGTACAATCTGGAAATGAGTTCATATGAGATTTTTCTATAGTCATATTTCAACTAATTGACATTTCACAGGGACAAAACAACATTTGAATACAAGGACAAGAGGCTCATGAGACTCCATTGCAGGTTTCATTTTAAATTTGATCCCATTCTTGAATGACAGAGTTAAAACAAAGTAAGTTGAAAATGCAAATTCAGCATCTCCTATAGGTCAAGCCACTATCTCATAACAACAAAGGTCAGTTTTCTCCCACATGAATTTATTTTGATGATGGTTTCAGTAACATATAACTGACTGTGTAAAACCATTAGTAAGTACTTAAATATTGATTCTGTTCTTGCTCAGCTGGAATGCAGAACTGCAAGTAGGAATGCAGATTGCACTGGTAGCTACCAATTAATTTTTTTCTGAGGTTTAATATAAAATGTCCATTTTATATTCATGATGAAAATGTGAAGTAGAAATGTCAAGCAATATGGATCAATAATTTTATCAGATTTGTGTGACCAAAACTCTAGGAAACTGCAACTCCAACACTGAGTAAAAGTTTATACTATATAGTTCCTTGCAGAACATTCAGTGACTTTTTTCTTAAAATATGAACAACAGTATAGTGCATTTTCATCTAATATGACTATTTTTCTCTATGTGCAAAAATATTTCTTTCATAGACATAAGTCTTTCTAAAACAAAGCTATTTCATTTGCAAATTAAGAAACCTCTAAGCATGCAAGAAGAAAGGTGGCATCTTACCTGCATTGGAGCCTGTCAAGTTGTAACGTGCATTCAGCTTTTTAATGATATTTTCATGGATCTGATACCAATCACTCTCTGTATTGCACCTAGAAAAATTATAACCGTCTTAATTCTCAGATGGGAACATAAGTTTATCAGATCAGCTTCACAACATATTTCTAAATGAAACAATAGGAGCTAACAAAGCCCCATGAAACTGCCTATCTCACTGGAAAGAGCAAGACTGCTCTCAGCACTTGAGAAAGGCACCATGTTTCATGTGGCAAAGGGTGGGAGAAAGATAGGAGCAATTATGTTCAGGAACTCAGCCGTGACCAAGTTCATTTCTGTATAGATCTATCCTTCAGCACTAAACCACACAGAAATCTATCTTGTGACACTCAAGAGGGGACACAGTACTCAGAGCTGGCCTTAGCAAACAGAACAACCTGTGCTGTACACTTCAAAGTTATTTAAAACAGGATGTGATCTTCAGGAGGTAGTCAGTGAAAGAGCAAACCACATTTTAATGTACATTTAAAGAATAGCTGGATTTCCATAATGAAAATATGACTATGTTCTAAGGATCACTTTTTAAAGTTTAGACTGGAGTTAGCCTTAGCATCAAATCTGGTTTTGAGTGACATTTCTTCTCCCATTGTTTTTGTTTTAAAACAAACAGGCAAAACTAAATGAAGTAAAAATATAATAGCAAACAAACATAACAATTTGTTAGCCAACAGTGAACACTTATTTTAATTTAATGTCCTGAGAGTCTGAATAAGAGCCAGTCCACATGTCCACTGTTGCACTAAATAGCCTTTCTGTAGCATTGATTACAGCAGCTCTAATTCAACACAGATAGATAGAGAGGAAAGGAGAAAGGCTGCCTAAAGAATTCCATGCCTTCAAGACCTGAGTGCTACATCCAGGAGGGGCAGAACTTCATCATGTGCATGACAATACATGTCCCAGGTTTATGTACATAGAACAGACTACTCTACAAAACAGTTCTTACTATAATGGCCAAGATCAGAAGGAAATTACATGCATTGTGTTGCTACTAGAAAATTGAACTTTCTTCAAATTACTTTCAGGCAAAATCCACTATTTAACCAACCATTCATTTTTCAATCTACTTTTGATTCATTCTCCAGCACTAACTACCTTTTAGACTTTAGTTATTCCTGTTATCTAACTGCTTCATTTCACAAAGATATTCTGCCTGTTTTTTTATACAGTTACAAAGTACTTCCACTCGCTGCCTAAGCAGCACAAGGCATTTAAGCAAGTCCTAAAAGCACTTTATGTTGCCATAAAAAGAGAGCTCCAGAAGGATGTGAAAAATGCTGAAACATACACAAATATCTAAAAGGATGTCACCTTTAATATTATCCCATTCTATAAACACATCTGTAGAACTAGACAAAATTTTCCAAACCGTGACCAAAAAAAAAAAAAATAAATTAAGAAACAGAAGAAATTAGCTACTACACTTTTTTTGGAACAGAAAGGAGCTACAGCTATTTACTCACACTGTATTAGCACCACTGCTTCTGATGCAACCTGACTCAAGATACTTCCAAAAATTAAGAAAAAGGGATTCCTTACATGTAGACTTTTAAGACGAGGTCATCCTTTGAATCTCCTGCCAGCAAATCTGCAATACTGAGGACAGCACAGCCAAAGGGCCGTCGATATTGTACGTTGCAAGCATTTTTCTTTTCTCCAGCTCCCATTCGTCCTGCCAAACAAAACACAGATTTGATGCATAATCCATGGAACTGTCTCTCTTCAAACCACAGAAGGGAGGCAGCAAGCAATCCAGCTCAGCATGGTGACAGGTCAGAGCAGCTGATGCCAACTGCACTCGTTGGGAACCTGGTCCATCTTTATACAATGATCAGATAACAAATGATACACAAAGTCCACTAAGTATGTGGTGATCTTGAAAGGTCTCAGAACAGAGGTTCTATTCATTCTCTGATGACCTCTACTCAACAAACAACATTTTCTGATACTTAGTGATAGCAACCTCGTGGCACTAGCAAATTAAATTTAGAGTTCAGACATGACAGAGTGTTTAACGTCAGTTGTCTGGTCAGACTTATTTTACTGTGGTTGTTGCTACCCATGATTCATGCAAGAGGTGTACAATTTAGTAATCAAATGCTGCTTCCAAATAGGCAACTGGCAAGCAAGGGCACAACTGAGCAGCTGCAGTAAAATCAAGTAGAGATTAAACACAAGGAAAAAAGGATGACAAAGGGCAGAAGAACAATTTACGATAAGGAAAGAAGGCAGGCAAGGGAAAGATATTTGAAACAATCTTTTTCCTAGCCTTTTCTATTGGATTTAAATACAATTGATCAGTCTTCTCACTGTGTTCCTGGCATTTGAAACTACTCTCTTTCTAGACATTTTATTCAAATGTGCAGTGGCAGTTATGTATCTTTCCCATCAAGTCTTTATTTCTGGTTAAAAAAAAAGCCTATGGTTGCAGTTGCTGCAGGGCAATGCCTCCTCTAAATATTTCTATGCATCACAGCAGCTAGAAGAGCAATTGTTCATTTTCACACCATGCAGCATATAAATGCTATTTCAACCTTTTAATATTTCAGTGTTTCATTTAGAAACTCAACTGAGAATATACTTGGAAATTATAAAATAGGAAAATTTCTACTCCCTATTGTTCTTTAAAACATTTATTCTTCCCAAATATACTTACATCAGACTTAACCATACCTTTTTTGAACCCTTGTCAATGAAAACAAAACACAGTACTTTGATGAAATACTTAACCCGCATGAAAATGCAAGGAAAACATTATTTTGAGCTCTGAGAAATAATTTTATTTTGCAACAAGTTATTTCTGAACTCAGTACAAGTTAGAGTGACCACAATTCAAATCAAAATATCTTTGAAAAACAGGAAGAAAAGTAGCATTTAGTACTGTACTGACGAACCTAGAAATGGTTTACAAAGAAAACAATATGTCTAAGAGGTCAGAAGCAGAGCCAAAGATTATTGTTTCACATCAGCAGAGCCTGGAGGATAACTTCTTAAAATGAACACCTAACAGAAACATACACTTTTTTTCTCCCTATTGTTCTAGAGGACGTGATATCTATCTACAGCATCAGAAATTAAAATTATTATGAAACATTGTCCATTTCTTTCCCTCTACACCTTTTTAAAGGTGTCAGGGAGCAGACAAAATTCATCTGAATGATTTCAAATATACATCAGATATTGTATACTAATTAGGTACATTAAATATCCAGGCAAGTTTTGCTTTTAACAAAGGATGCTTGAAATTACTCTTTGGAACACAAATGGACTCCTCAATGACAATTCCATCATCTGAATGCAGTTCATATTTGACATTTCATTTTGTTTTGTGATAGTAACAAAATATCCAGCATCTAAATTCAGTTAGCAGTACACTTGATAAATAACATAAACCAATGCTGAGAAATCAAGAACAGTTTTTCCATCAAAAATAAGGCATTTTCTTTTCTAAAAATTTATTCAAAAGTCTAGCTTATCTAACAAATTCCAAAGCTGACCCCAGGCAATTTTCTTTTATTTACTCTCATATGTCTAACAAATGTAAGATTATACCTACCTATTCGGATAATGTGCACAGTGATATAGATGTCCTTCCTGAGTTCACTGCTACCCAAATCCTGCACAAGATCAGAACCTCATTATTTCTGACTCCTGATTAAAATGCGACATTTAAAGAGATCTGTACACACTGCTTTCACTGCCAGTGAAAGTGATAAATGAACAGTCAGTCCATTTATACAGCATTAACAAATTATCCCTTCAACATTTTAAATTGGTGGTCAAGCACTCAAAATGACTGTCCTAAAATATAATGGGTTAAAAAATTTCTGTAATGCTCAAAATCAGTGGGAGGGCACAAGAAACTTGCTGTGTGCCTTGAACAGCATTTGTGCAATTCCAAATATTCTGAACGCACAGACTGCTGCACAAGCAATTTTTTGGCTGTAAAAAGTACAAGGAGGAAACATAACTGGTCCTTGTTGCAGGGAGACAGACTGGTGCATATGCTCCATAGAAGTTTAGATGAATGTCCACACACTGCCAGAAAACATTCAAGTTGAGAGTTCAGCAATACTCCTCAACCAGCCTTTAGAGTTGATGCTCATAACAATGTATGAGCTTAGGGAGCAGTTCTGAGTTAACCACAGAAAAACAACTTAATCCAACTTTATTTTCAATACCCAGCTCAAAAAAAAGATTGAGAATAGGAAGAACTCACCACAAAGAGAGAACAGTGTCTTTCAGGCTTTTCTGGACATTTTGGCAAACCATTTCTATTCAGTCTTAAAAAAAATCTTTCACTGTAAGAAAACAGATATGACAAATATGTTGAACACCACCACAGCAAAGTAGATCTCATTTTGATCTTATTTCCAGATGCAACCATCCTCAACACACAAATGAATGAAATAATTTCTTTCTGAAAGTCTCAGTTGTAGCAACCAAAAAAAAGGGAGACACTAGTGAAGGGTGGTGATTAACTTAATCATCTAACAAAATTACCAAAACCCAATACAAAATAGAACACTGATGGTCATTTGATAGAATGATATTGTACATCCTAGTACAAAAACACAAGCAATAAAATCCATTTATCCTAGAGCTAAAATTAGATGTGTACTATTGGTATTGATTCTTGCTAAACAAATGTCAACATTGCCAGGCTTGTATTCAACCACTATTCTTTTTCACATATTTGAAGATGATCATAGGGGACATTTTTCCTACCTAATTACCAACATCTTGCACTAGATTTTAGCAGCCTTTTAAGAGTCTTGGAAGTTCCAGCAGGACAGATTTATTTTTGAAATCCTGTTTTGCAATCTACTATGGGGTGTTAAATGCTGCAGCTGATATAAGTAGTAATACTGCTAGTAGGGAGATGCAGAGAATTCTTATTTCCAAAGAGAAGAGAGCACAAGATCCCATTGAAAGACAAATTAATTTTTGAAACATTCCTATTTGATAGTATGTTCATTATGGATGAACTCTGAGCAAACCTGGCAATTCATGCATGGGAAGTTTATGAAAAATTAAACTTTCCATGCTTTGAATAATTTCCTCTAAGACACAGTCTCATAGGAAATGTTTCAATCATATTTCTGCAGCAAGAGATGTGCAAGATGGGAAAAAACCAAAGTCAGAAGCATTATATAGATTTCTCTTCACCCTCTCACCCTCAGCCCCAGCTAGCCAGACTTGTGAGTCTGTATGTCATGTAATGCTCAAATCAGAAACAAAATTTCCAAGGTGCAACTAGCTTTTTTCTCAGCTGTATCCACCTCTTCTGCTTATTCCAGAGGCTAAACATGGTTTACCACTGCTCTATATCATCCATAGCTGTTCAACCCACAGCTGGAAAATCACTAGAAATAATGTTGGATAAGATCCAACTCAATAGAGACTAATTAAATCTTTATTGCACCAGCATTTGCCTTGTAGAAAATCTGCATCGATCATTCTCAAAATTAGTCACTTACATTGAAAGGGACCTGAAACAGCCTCTAAATCCAACCTCCTGCTCAAAGCAGGGTCAGCCATAAAGTTGGATTAGCTTGCTCAGAGCTTTAGCCAGTCAGGTATTGAAAACCTTCAGCTATAGAGACCACAAAAAGCCACTCTGAAAAACCCATCTCAGTGTCTGACTGTCCTCAATTTTTCTTTTGCATCTAAATGAAGATTATCTTGTTTCAATGTCTATCCATTGTCTCTCATTGTCCCACTGTTGATGCTATTGATCTTCTTGTAAGTAAATTAAGACAATCATTTTAGCAGGGCCTGTTGCAATAAGACAAGGGGTAATGTTTATAAACTAAGAGAGAGTAGATTCAGACTAGATATAAGAAAGGTTTTTAACAATGACAGTGATAAAATACTGGAACAGTTTTCCCAGTGAGGTGATAGATGCTCCACCCCTAGAAACATTCACAGTCAGTTTGGACAGGGCTCTGACCAGCAAGACTCCAAGAATCTATGATCTCAGAGGTCTTTTCTAAACTTAGTGATTTTATGATGATGTCCCAGTTCATTGCAGAGGGCTTGGATTAGATGACCTTTAAAGGTCCCTTGTGTCCCAAACCATTCTATGAATTTATGATCCTATGACTTAGCTCCCCTAAAAACTGCTTCTCCAGCCTGCACAAGCCCTGCTGCCTCAGCCTAACCTCTCACAGCAGGAGTCCCTGCCCACAAACCTGAGGCCTTATGCTGGACTACTTCAGCTCATTAATATCAGTCTTGTACTCAAGGACCAACTGGCATGGTCTAACCAATGCTGAGCAGGGCATGACCATTTCCCCTAAGCAACTGGCTGCGTTCTTGTTGACACGACTCATGATGCTGTTACGTTTAAGAGCACATTTTTAAGAACTATGTCAGATTAATTTTTTTTTAATGTGCCAGCTATCCAGGTTGAACCTGCAAACACTTAGACTTTGTCATTGTGATTATTTGAAAACTTTGGTGCAATGTTCAGCTATACAGCTTTTTATCAGACATCAATACAGGCAGAACCTCAGAAATAGTAGAATTGAACTCAAACATCTCAGAAAATGCTATTTTTCCCATCCATGGTTTATGATGTAGTCAACTTCTGCAGCTTAGGTCTCCATGAAAACTTTAAAACTGAGTTTTAAGGATTGTTTATGTGAACATATTTTTACAGAGAACCAAGTTGGTATTTTGTTGTTAATTTACAAATGGTTCAAGATAATTCTGCCCTTCATTTAGATTTAGCTTGTTTGCAATATTGGAAAATACAGTAAAAAAAGTGCAGAGCTTTGTTTATAGGTCCCACATAAAGTTATTGTACATTGAGCAAGAATTATTAGTTATATTACCAAAGTAGCTAAAGTTTTAGGACCCCATTATGTGTAGCACCATACAAAACTGAATCAAAATAAAAAAGTCTCTGTTCCAGCAGTAACAATACAGCTTCTGTGCACTGAAGCCTTCAGTGCATTGGTACGCATCAATACAAATTTGGTCAATACAACACGATTCTCAATTTCACCACTTTTTCTTCAGTCTGTAGAACAACTTAAAAGTAATACACACATACACACTAAATTTCACTATACTTTAATCATTAAAACAAATGCTAGATATGCTGGTTCAAAGAAAAATACCATTCACAATCTAATCTTCATAGTTTACTTATGAACTGGCAAATACGAAATTTAACTGGGAGTGTATTCTATATTTAATGAAGGTTGAATTCTACAGAAACAAAGACACATCTTTTGGAAGCTTCCTACTCACGATCCACTACAATAGGAAATTTTCAAGCTCAGCTTATACTCACAGACCATGAGATTATGATTCATAGCATAATTAAAAGCCAAGGACTTTTGTCATGCCACAAAGAAACATACTGATTGCAGCAGATACATAATGGTTATGCAGATCTAATTTCCTCATTTGAATTTGAAAATGTTTCACTAAAGCACAGGACCCAGTGGCAACAAAAAAAGCAAATTGAAAACAACAAATAAAAAACCCACCTTATTCAGTGCTTTATGATACCTTTTTTTCATTTGAAACATATTAAAAAGGTTAGCTTTGAACATTTCCAGGGAGCAAATACAAGCAGACTTGGATCACAAAACAAAAATGTTTCATTTAAGTACACAAAAAATGTACATTTATATACCATTTCAAAGCATTTCTATACCAACCAGGATAGAAAAAGGGCTGAGTAAAGCAAACAGCCTTCATAAAACAATATAAAGACAGAATTCCCAAGATCCCAAAGCTCGGCTTCAAGCAGGAGCAAAAACCTCAGAGGGTTAAATCTGGGCTAGTCCCTTATTGCACAGCAGTTTTCTCAGCAGTCAGCTACACATACATAGATGGAGCAAACACACACAGCAGTACTCCAAAGCAGAAATACCTCTCCTTTGTATTAAGACGATTTGATTCTAGTTTAGACTGCAATGAATTTTTTATGAGCACCAATCTTGCCACTTAAACATGCCGCACACATTTAAACTCAGCTGTCTTCCCACTGAAAATAAGGAAATAACCAATGCTGGAGAGATTAATTTAAGAAGGTCAACAAGGGATTTTTGTACCCTAACTTCCCGTGTATTAGCAGAGTAACAATGTGTTCCAAATCTGCAGGCTTAACACATTTTAAAGAAAGATGGCTAAAAACTGTTCTATTTTCATAAGTGACCCCTATTTCCTTAGTATTAGCAGGAAAATATTAGCAGTCACATGGTACCAGTCTAGACAGATTGCTTGCTCTATGATTTATAAACAGGCTATCAAAAAAAGAACCAGCCAGATTTATACTACATGGCATATTCTAGTGGCAAAGCTATGTCATCAAATAGTCATAGTTCTCAGTACAGCTCCACTTTCAGACATCTTTATAAATGCTCTCTACTTGAATATAGGTTACAGTGATTTTTAAAGTAAATACTGAGAGATGATAAGAGAATACTACCACATAATTCATCAGCTCAAATTTATCACACTCCAGAACACCCTTAATGGATGTTCATTAGGAACTGGAATATGAATTGACTTCATTTACAGCTAAAAGGCTCAGCAACTTCATAAAACCCAGATCAGACACCAAATGTTACTCTCACACTTAGTGGTAAAATGCAGAGAAATGTGATACAACATATCATAAGTTGCAGAAAGATCATATAGCCTTAAAAGTAAATGCTTAACCAGAGGAGAACTGAATGATAAATGTGCCAACATGACTTAGCAGTACCAGCTGTTCTACACTAAGTCAGTCTCTGCATTTTATCAGTTAAGCACTTAAAAAAACATACCCAAATTTCTAATGGTAAAATACAAGGCAATGACCAAAGGGAGAGAGAAAAGAATAAGTACTATAAAATTAAGATGCTAGGAAGTTTCAGATAAAGATCAAAGCATTAACGCTAAAAAATAAATAAAACAATCTTATGATGTTACATCAAAGCTTAATTCCGCGTCCTCTAGCCATCCTGACAACATGGGGGAAGAAGAAAAAAAATGTTCAAACGTTAGCTTTATGCTGCAAAGCCCAATTTTCCTTGGTTAGCTGTACAGTTAACAAGGAAGAAAGGAAACGAGAAAGCAGAACTGGAGACTGGAGGAAAAAAAAAACAAATTTATGTAGCTAAATCAAGCTCCTGTTCACATCTTCTTTTACCTCTTTATTAACTGAAGAGAGCCTTGAGAAATTAGTTTCTATGAAAGCATCCTACATTATTTTAGATATTTCCACCTGTATTTTAACTGAAAGGTAGCATTACACGTTTCTTGAAAAGAGTTAAGAAGCAATAATTTAAAATCATTT